GAGGTCGCTTTGCTGCTGCAAGCAAGGAGCTGTAAAATGCTACCTGAACAGGGAATGCCACTTCTAATGAAGGCAGCTCTAATGACTCATCCTGACTAAGTGCGTTTTCATATGATGTGTAATCAGATCAGTGAGACAGAAGGTGCTAGAGGTCAAAAGTGTAAGTGGGTTTAGGAAAAAAAGGGGTGAATTCCTAGGGAATGAGCCTGGATGTCTGTGAAGCTCCTCAGGGTGCAGTGTAGAGTGGTGGTTTCATTGAGGCTGGTACATGGGGAGTCGGGGCCAATACTGCCTTTGTGAATGGAAGGGCAGGAAGGTGCCTGAAGGCTCCAGCGGCTGGATGTGCTGAAATTGTTGGCAAGTTAATTTGTCCTGTGGCATCCATGTGTTCTCTTCCACAATTGGAGTTCCGCAAGAATGGCTCAAAGCTTGTATTTTGCACTGCTTGTCCTGCATTAGAGTCACTGCCGTGTGCTTCCTGAAGTAAACGTGAGGAATGTGTATGCACGCATCTAGTGATGCGCATGGCCATAGTAATAATGCTCAAGTGTTGTCTTTCATGTGCCAAGACCACAGCCTGAGTTTATCTGCTGTGAGAACTGCTTCTATACCTGTGTGCCCCATGAAGAACTGGGAAAGCAGAAGAAAACACGGAGTCTTTGTGCTATGGCCCAGCTAGTTGTACTGGGATTTTCAGATCTACTCTGAAACACAAAACCTATGAATGCTACTCACTTGGATTCAGTTTCATTAGATCTTCAGTTTAGAAAGTCTATACTAAAAAGCTATCAGGAGAAATAATTCCAAGATGAAGGAACTGTAGAAAAACGGACTCCAGCAGGTCATGAACTCAGGGAGCTCTAAAAGGAGACAGTGTTAAGTCCCCTGTTCTTCATTTGCTCATTTCTACGTAACTCTTGAGTTTTTAGCAGTGCTTAATGATCCCCCTTAATTAAGGCTGTGTTATGCTGGGAGTTACACAGATGTATTTGTGGAGGACCCTTGTCCTGACAAGTCTGTAGCTCATTTTCTGCAGCGCATGGGTGATACTGATCTCCAGCACCTGTCTGAGGAAACAGAATGGAAAGGGGCTGTGGATCATAAGGCAGGTGATTGTTACTACCAGCATGATGTAAAGCTCAAGTAAAATTAGGACAAATCCAGGTGGGGGAAAACACTACCTTTCAGTTGATGTCAAAATACAAGCAGCTGAGTTGACACTCTTCTGAATCTTCTCAAGGTTGGCATGAGATGTTTTTGACCCTGAATCAAAATTATGTCTTTACTGATTTAGCGTCCTAAAAGAAACCTCAGGGACTACTTCAAATTCTGTTGCTTTTGATTTGGGCTGGCCAGGCATCATCCAGCTCTGGTGTGGAAGTGGGTGGAGGCTGTTCTGTCTGAGCAAGTCCGTGCCTGTTGCACTTGTGTGGGACCAGGTCTGATTTGTGCCTGAGCAACTCTGAGAATGGCCAACCTTGCTTCACTTGTCTCTTCCTTGTGTGGCCCTGTCTGTAGGGGAAGCAGGTCTGATTTCTCAAGTGGATGAAAATTTTTCCATGAAGACTTCTGGGGCTTGGATCCCAGTTGGACAGCTTGCGAGTGTGCGTTTGTGCGTTGCTGCACTTAGGAAGTGGGTCGGGAGAGGGAGCACTTGGATAATAAGCTTCAGTTTAATATGAAATAAACCAGTTAGTGTTCTGTTGATTTTTATTTTATGTAATCCCATTTAGTATGGCAAACAAATTTTGTCTTTGAAGCCTGATGGCAGGATCTTGTCTTGCCTGTCAAGATTTCACGTTCCCCTTTGTACACGTTGCGTTTCACTGAAGCAGTGGGATGACCTTGGAAGGGAAGGGTTGTGAAAGTTTGGCTGTGAAATCAGCCGTAATAACGCAAAGCAGGTTGCTTTGCTGTTGCACAACAATAAAATGCAGAAGCCTGTTTGTACGGTGAGTCTAATTCCATGTTACATACTGAAGGTCCGTTCTTTTTTTGCTCTACATAAAATTCTAAGTACATAATAGCTGTATGTTATTATACATGGAGATTTTTCAATGCTCTTTTAGAAATTCCATTATAAGGAAATATTTTATACCTCCTCTGTGTAATGATGTCTAAGTCTTCTGTGAATACATCAGTGTTGTGAAGACTCACAGGTTTTCTAATTGAGCACAGAGGAGCTGTAACCTTGGGAGCTGTTCCCCAGCTAGAGCAGACTGAGCTACAGGAGCAGACACTGAGTGTGTGACCAAGTGTAAGTAGTCACAGGTAGGACTTACTGATGCTGAGAGAGAAATATTTGAGCAATAAGGCCAGGTTTTTAGAAGTGTTTGTCCTTATTAAAAAGGAAATGTGTCTCCAGCTGGGCTTTGTGCTACATCATGACTGTTTGGGCCCCACAGTTCAGCCAGTTTTCAGTCCCACCTCTGGCCGTTTCTGTGGCCAAGACCTCATCAGTTGGAGTGTGGGCCTGTGGTGTGAGGCACTGCTGAAATCCTTACTTAGGTCCAGGTAAATAACATCCACTGCTCCCACCAAGCCTCACTAAGCCAGTTGGCGCACTGTAGAAGGCTATCAGATTGATCAAGCAGATTTTCCCTCTGTAAATCCATGCTGACTGATCCATTCATCGTGTCCTTAAGATGTTTGGAAATGACCTCCCAGATTATTTGCTCCATCACTTTCCAGGGACCAAGGTGAGGCTGAGCATCTGGTTTCCACGATCCTCCTTGATGAAAATGCAAGTGACGATTACTTTTTTCTTTCTCATCCCACAGTCTACAGGAATCTCCTCCAATTACCCTGACCTTTCAAAGATAATCAAGAGTGGCCTTGCTGTGACATAGGCCAGCTCCTGGTCACCTACTGGCACATCTATTTTCTATGTAATTTTAAACAACAGATTAGAAATAGTTCCAGATCTGACTAGTTGAAACACTAAGTAAAAGCAACTACAGTATAATTACAGTTGCAGCATGCTTTAGGTCTTTAATTAAAATTCAAGGACAGACTTGAAATAAATCACAAAACCACTTGGAGACTTGGATGTCAAAAGTTCAGCCTACAATAAATGATTCAGCTTTCAGGCAGGTCACGGACGCTTTCCCCTGCTTTCCCTTCTTAACCATCCCTCCACAGACATAGAGGAAGAAAAAACTGGAAGTCAAGTACACTGGAAAAGGATGAAAAAAAATGATAAAATGTGTGTTCTAGAGAAAATGGAAGTCCCTATTTCACTGCATAGCAGGGACTGGTGTACAGCCCCCAGGATAATGTGCAGGTTTGCGCCACGGCTGCTGGGTTTTGTGGCAGCTTTGGTGGTTTTGTGCTCGGATCCGACGGCGCAGTGGTACTCTGTTATGGTCTGGCCGGCTATTTATGACCAGGACAAGAGGCGCATTGTGAGCGGGGCTCTTCATTTTCCTTTTACTCATTTTCTATTGCTGCACTGGTGTTGAGCACGCTTACGCTGAAATTCAAGACCAGAATTAAACCATATCATGCGAGGTTTGAGATACTCTTCAGGAGACTGACATAGACCTGTATGTCAGTGGAATAATTTTGCAGTTTTCACTGCCACCAATTCCATTGGAAAAATAGTATTTAACTCCATGTTTGCCAAGGCAAAGAGTACACTGAGGCTTTTAACTTTTTCCTCCATCTTTTCTTTTTTTTTTCCACTGAAGCCAAGTGACATTGTTCTTGTGTCTGAGAAGTGTTTAGCTGGCACTGCTGCTTGCTCTTGTATACTAGGATGGCTTTTCCTCTGACCCTGCAGAGCTCTGCTGTCCTGGCAGCTGTCAGTAGCGGGGTCTGCTGGCATGCCTTGTCACCAGTGACACAAACCTCATTTCCATCAAGTCTGCCCTGGCATTTGGATGTTGTGGTCTCCTTTGCAAGTTAAGTGGAGCATCACGTGTGAAGGAATTATCTGTGGCTGGACCCAAGGCACCGAGGTGTTCAGTGCAATGGAACACTGGACCAGCTGTGGTTGTGCGGAGGGTGTTTCCACCAGTGACCGTGTGTGGGCTGAGCATCTCCTGGCGAGAGCCCCAAGCCCCTTCTGTGCAGCAAGAAGCTGTAAATTGAATCTCACAGTGTGGTTGTCAGGTCACCTCCAGGAGATGGATGCTGGTTCTGCTTTGAGAGTGCTTCTGAGCAGCTTGGTACTGCAGACCTTGGCTTTCGGCATCGATGCCTTTCTTGCCTGAGTTGAGGCAGCCCTTGAATTGAGGGAGTCAGCAAAAATTGCGTTGCAAGAGGCTCAATTTCAGAATAGTTACAGGAGGAGGATGAGCTGAAGGATGTAAGGGCTTTGACCTCTTTTGCATTTGTGTATATTTAATGTATTACTGGTAACTTTCTGTGGAAGAGGCACAGTTAGGTCAAAATAAGATCAAGTACATAGATCCAAGAAAGAGGGACATCCACCTTGTACTTGCCATACACATGCAATATTGTTCCTTTCTCCTTGAAATATTAGAGCAGTGGAAACAAGGTGTTTTTTGAAGCTCTAGCTTCTTTCAAGCTGTGTTTATTTTTTTTACGTAGATGAAAGAAAAACAACCCTTTTGAGGGACTCTCACTTTCTTTAAGGCTAGAAATCACACAGTTAAGTCCCAGACTGCTTCCTTATGTCCTGTGCTGTACTTCCAGGCTGATGCTATGACAGATCTGTTTATATTTTGCTGAGTGAAAGTGTAATGTGTTAACTTGTGAATGTGTCAACTGACCAGTTGAGAACAAATTGTCTTAGGATACTGATTGTTAATATGGAAACTAAAACCTGGGAGTTTTGCTGCTCACAGCCTGTACCCTGGATTCTGAATCACGGAGTCATGGTAGTCAGGGATTGCTAAAATGTTCATGACTTGTGAGACTTGGCTTGTGAAGTAACGTAGGGACCAACCACTCTTGTTACTGTGTAGTGTTTGTTTAATCTGTTTGTGGTTTACCTGTGCTTCTGAGATGCTGAGTATAAATTTTCACTTCAACAGGATCTCCAGATGTGGGTGAATGGTGCTAACGAAAATGGTTTCATCCTGGTCTCATTTGGAGCTGGAGTGAAATACCTGTCGGAAGATATAGCTAATAAGTTAGCCCATGCTCTGGCAAGGCTGCCTCAGAGAGTTATTTGGAGGTAAGTGCAATGATAGAGGCCCTGGGGGTGACGTGAAGCATGCCTGCTTCCTCTTGTGCCATCTTGATCTGGAGTTGCAGAAGCTGGAATTGAGACAGTCTGGGTTGCACAGAGGACGTGACTCTTTCGAAAGACGCTCTTTGTGGAAATGTTGCAGTCCCCTGGTAATAAGGAGGAGCAATGGTTTCTGTGGCAGAGTGAGGCACAGGTTATACCCTTATGCCGAGTTTATATCCTGGAAGGATTTAGGACAGTGAAAAGAGTCTGAGGTTATAACATGGGTGACATACTGTCATCATTTCTGATGAAGAAGCCACCCTAGGGAGCAGGAATAACATTCTGCTGATTTAATCTTAGGTTTTCTTTCTGCTTTATCATCTTTATGCTCCCTTTTTTTGGCCTCTTCTCTTCTATGTGTAAACATAGACTTTCATAATTGCTTTTCTCACTTTTCTTTTTCTGTGAGAAACTGGCAAAATAAAAACCTGCAGAAGAAAAAAAAGAGTAATAAAGTAATAAACTGTCTTGGCTTGAAAAACATCTTGAGTGGCGCTCTTACTGCAGAAATCCAAGAGCTGTGTAGTCAGTTTAGCTTTACGTGGAGCGTTGCTCCGGAATACAGTTCAGAGGAGCTCACACGAGGAATTGCTGCCCTGTCAGACTGTGAGTTGCATTGCTCCATTAGTGACCTGTGCCCCACCACCTCTTGGGGACTGTTCTCACCGCTGTGTGTAACTGAAATAGGGAACCCCACTAATGAACAGGGACATGGAAGTTCTTCAGGCTGTGGCATAGAACCTTTGGTAATTCTAGTGAAGATCTCGTTAGGGTTTTTTAGGGTAGAGATGATATACATTTGTTTCCTGTGAAGCCTGCAATGCTGCTTGGCTTGTAGTTAATTGTTAGTCCCAGTTGATCTTACTGCTTTACTTCTGTTTTATCCTTTTATCATGTTTTCCCTGGAGTGTTTTTCTGTAGGAAGTATCCACTTTCTGTAGTAAATAAATCAATTTTAATGGATATTTCTTGGGGATGGCTTTTTTTAATGCCAAAGTACCCATCTCAGTTGAAATTTTCTGTTAAAATTTTTAATTTTCCTTACCAATGCTTTTTTATGTTTTTTGGTTTGTTCTATTATCTGCTGAATGTTCTTTTGGTTAAGGGAACCCACCTGCTGTTTGTTTCCATCATGATTTGTGGAAAGACATGTAGTCCCTGGGACTAGGTGTAAGCCGTGGTCTTTGGGAGAGCTGAGCAGGTGGCTCTCAGTCACCCCAGTGGGAATGTGAGATGCAAAATGAAATACCTAAATCTGAAATTACAAGTCCCACTTTTTTGTTCTTGGGATCATGGACCTACAATCTGTGTTGGACACAGGTGGTTGTTATACTCAACCTTGCTGCAAATTTAATGTCTGCCACTTCTTGGCAGTTGTATGTCATGACGTCAAATCAAGGAAATCTTGGTAGTTCTTTATAGCCTTCTGATTACGGAGTACTAGTTAGAGCCAAAACCAGTCACATAATTTATTTGCTTTTATGTAACTTAGCATAAATAATGTAGGCTTTTTTGAACTTATGGAACATACAAGCCAGTTGGAAAGATCTATGGCTTGCTTAATTTGGAGTATGTGAGTGATTCTTTATGAAGTTAGTTTTAATGCTCTCTGATAACCAGAATGTTTTGAAGCCATTTGATGGACTTGTCACAAAACAACTCTACCCTCTAGTAGTCACAGGTAATTTTTTCCCTCTTTCTTTTCTGTTTAGAATATAGCTAACTTCCTATGTTAAGTGTATATAACATCATGTAAATTAGTTTGTACTTTGAGCATGTTATGAGCTAAACTTTTCCAGCAGCCTCAGGTGAGCCCGAGATGGTGCAGTTGGGTTTTGGGCAGTTGAGCAAGTAAGAAAAATACACCCATCTCACAGTGTGATCCTTAACTCTTCATCAATAGCTTCTTACCTCTTAAGCTGAGCTTCCAGCCTTTCCCTTCCTGGTATTAGAAACTCCTTTTGAAAGAAGATGACAGTTACCAAGAGCTACAGGAGATGGGCCAACTGGAAGGAAAGGGGTAGGGGTTGTTTTTTTATGTGCTCATGAGGGATGTTCTCCATGGAGTTACTTATCTGGTACCAGCTGGAGTTCTCAATAAAGCAATGGACTCTGAACCGTAGAGGGGTTGTAAAACCTGCTGCCAGTCACAGTGGTAAGTTACATACACTTTGAGAAGGAGCTACGTTGCTGTTGTGTTAATACAAAAACGTTGCTGTTGTGTTCATACAAAACATGGCATTTCAAGCCAGACTGCTAGGAGACCTAATGATGAAAACAAGAATTTGGAAGTTACTAGCTATTTACATCATCTTCATTGAGCCTATTCTATTGTCTTGTGATAGTGAGTAAACAGTATCCCTATGCAACTGCAAATCTGCTGAAGGCTCATGGATGGTTTGGCTTGATTATCTGGTTTGATTTCATCAATTTTGTAGGTCTAACTCAGTTTGCATTTGATTTCATTGTTTTAGGTTTTCAGGAAACAAACCAAGGAATTTAGGCAACAACACAAAGCTTATAGAATGGTTACCACAAAACGACCTCCTTGGTGAGTAGCTATTTTGATCATATATCGATTATTCTCTCTTGAGTTCATGCTGCACTTGGAACGATGTTCTCGTGAATTAGCAGTCATAAAGCTAGGATAACTTCTGTAGTGGAGGTCATAGAACAAGAATGTAGAAATTGTCAGAATTTCAAGATCATAAAATACAACACCTTTATCATGTTAATTATCCCTCCCTGGAAGTAACTCCATTTTTTCCTTAGGTTAGTAGGGTAGAAGGACACAGTTACGCAAGAGACTGTGTGGCTGCATAAATGGGAAAATTTTTTCACTAGGCTTCTATACCATGGAAGTTATGCGGCTTGAGGGGAGAAAAATAATTATTAAAGACAAATAAGTATGAGTTGTCTTGAATCTGCTGTTTTAAGGAACTGGTGATGGTAACTCTTAATTTCTCAGTTATGAAGAAGCATATGGTGTTCACCAGTCTCTTCCTGAACAGTCATAAAACTGAGCATACGAAAATTGTTAACGTGGCATCAAAACAAGCCTTAGGAGTCAGTACATACTGCTGTATATAGACACATTTATTTATTTTGCTCTGGAGAAAGCTGTACTGGAACTTGGACTTTTGTTCCAAATGGATAATAAGGTTTCTGTTTAACCTGAGGTACTGCAGGTTCTCAGGTGCAGAGAATGAAACTTGATGTTCTTTCATCTTGTGGTAAAGACTATGTTAGAGTCTACATATTTTACTTTTTTCTTTCCTTCCCTGTTGAAGGGTAGCTAAATACATGGCAAATCCGAGGGGCCACAGGATATTTGATTGTCTCTGGGATACTTGGATGTTTGTGTGTTCACCAAGCAACTCCAGTGCTACCATGGGTGCTGATGAATGCGCGTGCATGAGTGTCTGTGCACTTCAACTGGAATGTTTATCCTAATGGAGTGATTAGGCAAATGACTTTTAAAGCAGGTTGATTTGTTTTGGTTACTGAATTGCTCAGGGGCATTCTCCTTTTTCCGCTATGCAGGATTGTTATCATTGTTGTCAGATCTTGCTAGCCTGAAGTGAGGCACGTGAAGCTTTACAGAGAATGTAAAATCAGTTTTCCTGTCATTCAATAGCTTGTGTTCATGTGAATAATGAGGCAAAATGAGTGCTCTTAGGCTCATCTGTACTGCTAAACTGGTTGTAGTCACCACCTGCAGCTACTCAGCAGCAAGCAATGTATATGAATTACTCGATTAATTTTACACAACTTGTATCCACAAGACTTTGCCTTGCATTGCCTGTTCCCTCGCTCCTAGTGTGTAAGGAAATCATGTAATGCATGTGGAATTTCAGTGCAGTGGGTTTAAGGAGAACTTCAGAACAAGTTGCATTCATTTTTGCCTTCCTGAATTGCAGCCGTGGAAACATGGTGATAAACATGTTGTACCCAGTTGCTTCAATAACTGTACATTAAGGAATGTAAGTGTTTTTAATCTTCATGCCTCTTCTGTTTTCAGGTCACTCTAACATTAAAGCTTTTCTTAGTCACGGAGGTTTGAACAGCATTTTTGAAACCATGTACCATGGAGTCCCAGTGGTGGGGATTCCCCTTTTCGGAGACCATTACGACACCATGACTCGTGTGCAGGCCAAAGGCATGGGAATATTGTTGAACTGGAAGACTGTCACTGAGAGCGAGTTGTATGAAGCCTTAATAAAAGTTATTAATGATCCCAGGTATGGAATAAGCAATTGCTCCTTGCTTTTAGCTTAAGTTAGTCTTATGAGATAAATACGTATATACAGAACCTTTGTTCAAGGGGAAAAACAAAGCATATTGGGATTGATTTTTTTTTTTGTATATGGTTGGGACAAGTCTTTGGATAGTTGTCCCATTCCACAAGATGATTGAATTAATTAGGTTTCTGTGTAGGTGCTGAGCTCGTTGCAGAGTGTACGCAAGCTCATTTGTTTTTTGCAGCAGTTGCCATGTGAAGGGCAGAAAGGTTATAGAAACAAACCTGTCCTGACTTATTCCTTGTTGCAGACCAGTGTGTCTTTGTGTGTCTCAGTTGCTCCATATTAAGCAGTCTGTCTGTTGTGCTGCCAAAGGGGCCTGGAGCAAAATACACCTGTAGAATTGTAGGGTGGCATGTTTGGATTGTAGCTAAATATATCAATGTAGACAAAAAGGACTCTTGAAGTCTCATGATTTGGTTGTAAAAAAAAAAGATGTTTTCCTTTTCTGGCCAGTAATATCTCTCTTAGGGTCGGAAATGTAGTTTGTTTGTTGCAATGACAATTTTCTAACAAGTTATGATGACTATGAGGACTCCACTCTGTTCTTTCTGAATTTTTTTTTGTTACTCAGGTGGAATAAGTAAAAACCCAATAACTAGGTTTTGTAACTCTTCCTAATTCCAGCAAACAAATATGCTCAGGGATAGTAAAGTACGAGCAGAGTCACTTTAAAAATTTCTTCCAAACTTGTTTTCAACATCTGTGATGTTCAGACTATGTCCAGATGAAAAATTGTGACATTTATTGTATTGAACCAATTGTAATTTTGGAGTGTTGTGCCAACAATGCTTCTCACTTTGATGGAAGCGAAGTCTTAAAGGAATTCTTACCTTGGCAAAGGAGGAACCTGTAAGGTGCATGGAACAGGACTGCAGCCAAGGGGATTGACTTTACAGGGATCTCCATCAGTTGCATCACCTTTCCCTTGTGCAATTATCCTTAGTAGAAAGGCAAGTCTTGAATAAAGAACCTGTTGACCTTGCAGCTGTGGTGAGGAGGGGAGAGGAGGTATTTGACATGGTTGGCTGCTGGGGATGGCCTGTTGAGGGAAAAATACAAAGGTTTAGGTTGAACTCTGGACCCAAACAGAACTAGTCTGTTGTGCAAGCAAAACCAAGTTTCTAGCTTTATTCTGTGCTTCTCTGCTAATTCAATTGCACAACAACACGAGCGGAGTGTTAGGTTACGTTGCCACTTTACAGTGGGGCGGGCGAATGTGTCTCACTCCATAGGATTCATTTTGGCTTAGTTAAGATGCACCTCCCTCTTCGTCACTTAGTTGGAGGGTGGATTTCTGCCTGTAGACACAGGAGCCTGCTCATCCTTGAGCTGTAAGGACTGATGTAATGATGGATGATCTGCTGTGTCCAGCCCTCTGTGTGCTGGTGGTGGTGAAAGCCCTGCAGTAATGCGCTGTTTGACCCGAAGAGGCTTAAGTATGTTCATGTGTTTGCAGACTTGCATTGCTCAGAGTGCTGATGACTATTTTTCCTTTTTTCCCTTCTCTTTGTTCCCCACAGCTACCGGCAGCGGGCCCAGAGGCTGTCCGAGATTCACAAAGACCAACCCGGTCATCCCGTTAACCGGACTGTGTACTGGATTAATTACATCCTCCGTCACAATGGAGCCCAACATCTACGTGCTGCTGTTTACAGCCTCTCTTCATATCAGTATTTCTTACTGGATGTTGCCTTTGTTGTACTAGTGGGTGCTGCCTTACTTTATTATGTTTTGGCCAGGATAACAAAATGTATCCGCAAACAAAGCAAACATCTTTGGTCGAGTGATGACCATAGCGCCGTTAACGGACATTACCAGAACGGGATACCCAACGGCAAGTATAGAAGAAACGGCCACATTAAGCATGAAAAAAAGGTGAAATGAGCCAACCGCCCCATGTAAAGTAGTAATGAATCAGATCAGTAATCAGATTTTATCGCTGTAACTTAGTCTAACAACTACTTAAAACCTCAGTAAGCAGTTCTAACACTCCCCTTCAGTATGTAATATTATGTGACAAAATTCTATGGAAGTAAGAAAAGTCGTCAAAAGAAAAAAGCAAGCACAACCTAAAATGGCAAGTATTTTATTCTTAATACTGATGCAGAGAGGTTATTTTGGCACTGAAGTTTTTAGAAGCCTTAATTCTCTGAAGTTATACAATGATGGTATTTATGATTTTTTAGTTTTTAAAAACTAAATGTGTGTCCCAAATGAGGAAAGGTTTCTTTTTATTTGCAGAGTTTTTTCCTTTTATTTTTTTATTATTTTAATATATCCATCTTGTAGCTGAGATCTTTAGCGCTAGCTCTGCTTCCTTTTTTGAAGGTTCAACATGTTCAAGAATGCTGTGTAAAACCAATAATTTTTCCCAGTCTTTGTGCAAGAAATAGCAAGTTGCAGATTGAGAACACAGCCATGAAAAAACAAACCAAAACAACAAAAAAAACCAAACAAAACCAAATCTTGAAACGAGCACTGAAGAATAATGGCAAAAATAGGTACTCTGTTTACTGATAAGCTGCATGACTCTTCTGCTCGCTACCGATACTTGGGAGACAAGGGTCTCGAGCAAGTCTACAATGTCTTAATTTTTAATTTAAACAGGTTTTTATTTGTCGCCTTTCTCTGCATATTTAGTTTATGCCATGAAAATATTAGGGAGTTCTCTTTCAGTTGAAAATATGACTCTGTGGGAAGTAGACTTCAATAATTAAGAACAAAAAACCAAACAAGAACAGCAACAACAAGAAAATAAAACCTAGTTCTGTACTTAATGCAGAAAGCTTTGTAATGTCCCAGAGCTGTGCAGAATACAACTACTGTTTGGGGTTTGTTTCTAAAACAAACAACCAACACCCTCCCCTACCCCGAAGTTGAATGTCTTTGCTATTAATTCTCATTATTATTAAGTTTCTTTCGAAATGGCTATGTCGTAGGTGTTCTCTTTCAACGGTTATATCTGGAAAAATATTACCTTCCAGTAGTCTGGGCCACGCAATCCATGTTTCACCTAGTTGCCAATAGGAATTGTCCGAGGTGGGACGGGAGGCTGCTCTGCGGGTGGGTGACCAGCCTTCCTTCCGAGGTCTGACGGGATGCGTTGGGTGAAGCCTGGTCGCCTGAGCTGAGCTTTGCGGAGGTGGTGTCTCCCCCTTCCCCTGCTACAGCCCCTCCCTGCAACAATCTCTTTCAATCATTGTCGCCGACGTGGGACGCTGGCGGTGGTGCGTACCGAGGGCGGGGATGCGGGGCGCTGGGCGTAAAATCACAATGGCTCTGCGGAACCAGGGTTGGCAACTATGAGGTTATTTCCATGTCATTCTGTTTACTTGGAATTTGCACTACACATGTTGTGAGTGTACACTTTATTTATTTGTAGTTTGGAAATCCCATGCCTGGAAGAGAAGGGAAAGAAACCCATTTACCTGGTGTTGTTCACTAACATGGGAAGAGTTGTGATGATTACAGGATGCTGAGATCATCTTCATACACAGTGATGTGATACTTCACTTACCATTCCATCAGGAGCCTCTATCCTATAGCAATAAATAACAGTACAGATATGTTTCTAATACACAGTACAGCGACTTGTACTGCTTTCTGAATACTTGAAGAAAAGTGTTATAAATAAGCCTATTAGCTATACCTTTTTACAATCTTGCAGTTCCTGGCAACTAGAGGAGCACGCAGAGGCGATGAGTGGTGGGATGGTAATAGGACTTCGAGTGTATGAATGTCTTGGTTTAAATGTGTTTTTTTGGCATTGAAGAAGGTACAAAAGCACTGACCGGATGATTAAGCATAATTTAATCTCCACTGTGATAAAACTTAAGCAATAAACATGGATTTAATAGAGAAAGTCTGTTGTTGGAAGTATACTTTTATTCAATTCAATGTTGTTTATTTTGAAGTACCTGGGGGTGGGGGGCTGTCTATAAATGTGGGTGCTTATTAGGATATAAACATTATTTCTTCTCAGTATGTACCATGATGCATGCTACATATTGGAAATCAAAAATTATCTTTTGTGAATGTAGATCTATTTGCTCTAAAAGCGTTGAATTGATTGAAAAACAGAATGCTTAACCGGATTTCTTTAAGGCAGTTAATATTTTTTGAAGTTGATATGAATGTTCCTGGAAAAATGTGTTTTTTCTATATGTGTTCAGTTATACCCCTTGCTTAGAAAGCAAAACCGAAGTCTTTTTCACAGCGATATTGGATCAAGTGGTTGGTTTCTGAATAGTCTCTTTAGATACGAACATGGTGCAATTCAGTTGCAAAGAGGAAGCTGCTGCTTTATTAATGATATTACCAGACTTCTAGATGAGCCTGTTCGACCTAAACTTATAGCAATACCTGTTTTCTTCCAAGTTACGCTCGGGTAAGTTCCAACACGATCTGATATTGCAGTTGTTCTTTGTTTCAGCCTCCTGCAGTAAGAGGAACCTGTATTAGACACAGTGGGTGGATAATGGTTGAGGGGGAACAGTTTTGCAAAATGTCTGGCAGGAGGAGAGTACAACTGGTGCAAAATAAGTGACGACTTTGCTCTTCCTGGGGCAGGTGTGCAGGACTCCCTTAGCAGCACAACATGGCTGTGTAATCTGCAGCCTTCACACAGCTTTGAAAATGGGCTTCACTGCTCTCCCGAATATCTGTATAAAAAGAAAAGTAACTTGGAGCAACTGGGAGAAACTATTTTGTGGGCACAACCAGCAGGCAAGGAGTAGCCACAAGAACTATAGAAAACACGTGGTGCTTACATAAAGGTTTTCAAAGAGACACTTGGGTGCTTGCCATAGGTTTTGGTATTCTGATTTCCTTTGAAGAGCTCAATGGTTCAAGAAGAAAGCAGCCATAAAACTGAGGTGCTTCAATTAGCACCTAGGGAAACAGGTTCTGGAGATGGTTATCAAGTTTCAGAGTTTCAGGAAATCAATGAATGTGCCAGCAGTTTTTTCTTATTCCCCAGATGACTTGCAAAATCCAGTTTTCACTACTATTGTGTTAATCTCTTTTTGTTCTTGAAAGATAGCACTTTTTGTGAAGTCGATTATGTTGTGATTTTATTCTGTGGCATGGTAACTCTGCAGTATTTGCTTTGGTGATTTTTTTTTCAGAAGATATCAGCACTCAATGAATGTTGGGAGTTTTTGTGTTACAAATGGTTCCTATCTTCCTTTGCTTTACAACACTAGAGGGTGGCTAGTGGCTAACAGATGAGGTGTGATTTTTTTTTTTCTCTGACATAATTTTCAGCATAAAGATATTGTAATTTTTCCTGCAATGAGATGATGTAACTTTTTCTTTGAGATGTGTTTCTGTTTTGGAGGGTGGGAGGAATGTGTTTTTCAAGATGGATGTAACAAATCCGATTTTATACAAGAAATTGCCAGTGTTGTTTTAGCTTGTGTATTGGGATACATGGTGGACATGCTTGCTAGGAGTGGGCTGCATAACAAATACTTTAATCTGTGGTTCCCTGGAATGGTCATTATCTCTGATTTCCAAGAAAGAAGGCAACATCTCTAGTAAGGTTCAATTATGTAAATATGAGTGAAGAGTCTCTGAGGTTGTGTTGCCACTCTGTATATGAAAGGTCTAGGTGTGTTACAGAACAAGAGTGAAAGCCACTCTGTTGCACTTGAGTTTTGAAGAGTGTACGGGTTTTGTTAACAGTTCATGAGTAGGATGAAGATCTTGTTAAGGGAAGGAGAAGGGAGGAGGAAGTTAACTCAGAAATTTCATGTTTGTTTTCTGTGAATTGTTTGGTTATAGAGCTATAAAAAAAACCCTAAACGAAGTGTGGTGTTATTTTTCTAATTCTGGTCCAGCAGCAGTGGTAGGAGAGAGGTAGCTATAGTCAGGAAGACCAAAACTCCTTCTTGACATTTAGATAATAACATTTGCTTGGGAAATGCAGGAAAAAAAAAATAGCAGCCCCCACAACACTCCTTCCCCCAGGTATATTTTGGTACATATTCCAAATAGGCACTGTGGATAACAATGGGATAACTTACCTCTTTGCCATAGCAAAACAAATGTTCCGGTGTTACAAGAGGAAGAATCTAAGAGCAATTGGTGTTGGTGCTCAGCCAGCATAGAAATGGTCCAGATTGTTGAAGGAATGCTAAAAAGGAATGTTTGCCAAGACACTTGTAACTCCAGACTGTGTACTAAATCACCAAACTGAGGTTTTACTCACCTGTTTCATCAATACTATTTATTACGCATCAAACAGAGAAAACCAATCTTAAAAGAAACTGAATTTGTCTTCCAAGACAGTCTTCTGCCATTGTTTGGTAAATATTACAGACCAAAAATAGTGTTACTTTATCCTAATAAAAATTACACTTTTCAGTGGTATAGAAATGATTTATCTAGGAATGTGGGTGTGTTTGCTTTTTTAAACAAAAAAACAAAGCATGCGAAATTTTATTTCATTGCAAAATAGCAAAAATGGGAGCATGTCATTCATCTGTATCTTCTTGGTTACTCCATAATGAGACAAAAATTGGTTAGAGAAGGAGGTTTGAACAATAGTTAGTGCTATCACAAAGTATTTGCTAGAATTTAACTCTTGTCTTCACATGTTCGTTGTGACTAAGAATACCGTAGGTTTATATTGTTTAGGTATTATAGATGAGTTAAAAAAAGGACAGATGAGCAATACCAAAACTTCCTTCAGATGTCCTTGTGAGGCAACTGAGGAACTGAT